AAATTAGATTAAAATATATATTTCTTAATTTTTCTCTAAAATAGCGAGCGTCTAGTTCAAAATATACAAACTCTCTTGAGACTTTAAATAAACTTGACCTAAAAGGTCATGTAATTGAATGTAATTAACACTGATATGAACATTTTAAAAGAGTCCTTGCTTTTACTGATAAAATCAAAAGTGGTAGGTAGACAAAATGTCGCTAAGTGATATCATGAAATTTAATACGTTGACTTCTCTGGCCAAGAAAATAAATACTTTACAAAGTAAATGATACCTATAGAATAATTAAAGTCGCCTTTTTGTTATTGATAAACAAAGTTTTTTTCTTGTTCTAATTTGAAATCTTTGCCCACACAAGACTGCCTAACGCTAGAAAGGTCATTGATTTAGTTTTGTAAGCATACTACTCGAAGCACCATGCGAACTGCACTTTCGGGTACTTATGTGCCTAGACTGGTGCATTCCGATGAGATCACAGATACCACATTTGTAAACAAATAGTTTTTTTTTCATATAATAACACAGCCAACCCAATAGTTAATTATTAAATTCTTAAACAGGAAGTTCCGGTATGGAGATTTGCGGTCGTAGTTTGCTGTTCGCTCGTGTTTTTGTTTTCATTTTGGAGACAAAATGTTCGTCTTTTCGACGACTTTTTCAGAAYTTTTTTTCAGATTTTGTCAGTAACTTATGGTAAGTACAGAGAAAAAACTCTGAAAATTAATAAACGTATAGTCCCGTATAAGGCTGTATAGGGTGGAATATTTTGTCCGAATAAATCAGCATATATGTACGATTATTCAGAACTTAAGAGTATTGAACGATGATAATGTATCCTTACAAACCAGCTGTCAAACGTCCACGAAACATCGAAGCTTTAGAATTCAGTATTTTTGATGTTTCAAAGCTTTTGTTCTCATTCTTTTTGTGGAACACTTTTAACCAAGAAGAAAAAACAATACCCTTAGTGTAACTTAATAAAAGTAATAAAGTGCTCACACTTAAAGCATGAAACAAATAGTACTAATTACTACTAAATAGTGTTGATTATACAATAGGAAACAAAGGAATTTGTATAATTTATCACCTATTTTGTAGTATTTATATTTACTCGTGACCAGGCCCTAGGCCGGGGCACAAGTCATAAAATGCAGCGCGTATATTTTTTTTTTCTTTTTTCCAAGTCAGAAGTTTGCCTTCAGGTCTCCCGATGGCCCTCCGATCTCTATACGAAATATCACATTACGAACTCGGCTGTAAACAATTGTATCATAGAACAGTGAACTGCTCAGGAGGTTACAACTGAAGCTTTTATATTAATTCTTTGATATTCGAGGTCTTTTGTTATTCCAAAACATTCATCTGTGTAAGAGCATATTACATTGGTTTAGGTCATAAAGGTTGGTGTATTGTGCCAAATAGTGAATTTTCCTCGAGATGTAAATGAGTGTACCTAAAAGTCGAGCGTAGAGGGTAGAGGGTCGAGGGTAATAAGTCGAGGCTGAGCGTAAAAAGTCAGGGGTGAGGGTAATAAGTCGAGGGTGAGGGTAAAAAGTTGAGAGTGAGGGTAATAAGTCGAGGGTAAGGGTAAAAAGTCGAGGGTGAGGGTAATAAGTCGAGGGTAAGGGTAAAAAGTCGAGGGTGAGGGTAATAAGTCGAGGGTAAGGGTAAAAAGTCGAGGGTGAGGGTAAAAAGACGAGGCTGAGGGTAAAAAGTCGAGGGTGAGGGTAAAAAGTCGATGGTGAGGGTAAAAAGTCGAGGGTGAGGGTAAAAAGTCGATGGTGAGGGTAAAAAGTCGAGGGTGAGGGTAAAAAGTTGAGGGTCACCTGTCTTATGTGCTGTACTCAGAAACACAATTAGTAGTTAAAAGTAAAACAACATGAAATGTATTTCTCTTGTAACGGTTACGAACGTAGTGAGTGTGAGTGGAGAGAGAAATAATTTCCTTGGCGATGTAAGGACTGGGCACTAGTGTGCACGTGGCATTATGTAAATAGGAGCTGTGTATATAAGGATGAAGTGATTTTAGTTAGACTAATGTGGTCTAAGTTCGTGTTCATAACTCATTTTGTGAAATAATGTCTTATTTTATTTTATCATATCAAATGTACATTAGGCTTATTCAGAGAGTGGACAGGGTGAAGAAGTTCATGTTGTTATGTAGGGGAGGTTTTTTGYAATAAAGAATATTGGTTGCGGGCTTAGACCAACCCCCGCATACTGTGTACTGTGTTGTTCTAAGGAAACTGGGACTGTAGGAGTACTAGGAACTAGCAATTCAAGTCGATTTTCAACTTCATCTCATTTTCTTTATTTTCTTGACATGCAGTAGCCTGCCTGAGATCCAAATGGCCTGCATTTTTTGCTGTAGTAATTAAACATCGCCGGGAGATGTGTTTACACATAAAAGAAGGAATGTTGGGTATCTCAGCGGAACAGAATAAATATTTTCATTGTGAAATGCCATGTATCAAGCCAAGACATCCATATTTTGATCCTGGGCAGTCTCCTTTGCACAGTTCATTCTTTCATTCGACTTTATGTTCAATTAATCATATATAAATTATTAGACTTTTTTGGTGATTGAAGTTATTAGCAAACATCAATGGATTGATTTTTGGGCTTGATATGTATATATATAATATAGGGTGGGCAAGTCTACGGTGGCCATACACAAAATTGTTAAATTTGAATAATGAACTGTTAAGTTGAATTTGATGATTGTTTTTTTTTCTTGCTTTTTATGAAAAATTGCTGCTGAACAGGCTAAATTTTGAACGTGCTAAATGTTTATTCAAATGAAATGCTCAAAAAATCAGAAAGGTTTTTGTTCTTTTCTGTCTTTTAAYGCCAATAAACTATGCTTTTTGTATTAATAATATATGTTTTTTTAAGTTTTTTATGCTTCATTTTTTTATTATTTTTGTCTGTTCAAAACTGGGAAATGTCCGGTCAAAATTGTATTTGAATGGTTATCATGTCCGGTCATTGACCACTGCCGTTATTTTGAGCCCTGTTTTATGAAATCAATTTTATCAAAAAATCCATCCAAATATGGATTATATGTCATTTTATCTGTCTGAAGATGTATAATTTTTGCTGCTTTCCTATTAAATCATGTGAGATATGATTTTTCTTAAAAAACATCCAGGTAGTGTCCGGGGTAACCTTGCCAGTTATTTAATTATTAATACACATTTGATGTAAGACAACATGCTTTTACATTCAGTGACACACAGAATCAGATTGCCCCTTAAACTTAAAAACTTATTTTTGTGACCATTCAAAATTAGTAACTTCAGTTGTTTGGGTTGAGCTTACCTTAAAAGGATAGTAGATGTTTCTGGTACTTTAAAAACCTATGAAAAATGAAGGCAACCAAATGATTCAATGAAGACAGCAACCATAAAACAAATCAATATTACCATTTACAATATTATAGAGCGGATTTTGTATTACTGTGCAAAGAAACAGATCCCATATATTTGTTATACAGGGACATGCCGCTGGCCAGGGTATGGTTTTTGTCCATTCTGTCTTAAACAGGGTATACATTTCACCCGAAATGTGTCTTAGTGTCTTAAACAGGCTTTACAATTTAGATAAAAGACTGATAAAWTTTTTTTGTGTCTTGGACAAGGTAATATACCATTAGAAATACTGTTGAAATAGTCAAAATACCGTTTCACTGTACCAGGATTAACGTTTTATATAAAAAACTTCTTATTGTTTTTGATGGATGTCAGTATAATTGCAGCTTTGATGGTTGCGGCATAGATAGCTATTCCGTATTTTTCAGATTTGTTTCTATATGCAATGATATCCCATAGGAATTTTCTTAAAAGCCTTAAATAACGAGTCTTGTAAACTGTTCATATAGCCTGAAGATTGTGAAAACATGAAACTTATAGTTGCTATCCGTGTCAAGCGTACTTGATTATTATACTTAATAATATATTAGCTCTACACTTGTATCGAGCACTCTTTTGACGACTGGATATTCACAACATTTATTAACATATAATTAACTATGAAATGCATATATTTCTCCATTACGTAAAATTGATATTTTCACTAGTGAAAATAACGTACATTCAAGGTTTCTTTATTTAATTATATAGTGGAAGTAAGAAAAAAGGTATTTTCCAACATAATTTGCTTTCATATTTAATTTTATGATAAACAGAACATTACATGGTCGCTTTGAGATACGAGCTCGACTCAATAGAGCAATAATCTACAAGCGCATCTTAAGTTTATTTAATTAATTCATGCATTATATCAAATATTTTGTCTTTTTACTTATGTAATACCATGATCACCTCGGATTCTTTTGTCTTCCGAGGGATGTTTACAAGCGAACATYMCTCCCTCATGAATGGCATGAGGGACGATTACTAGTAATCGTCCCTCATGCATAATAACATGAGGGACGGTTACCAGTAATCGTCCCTCATGCATAATAACATGAGGGACGATTAGACTAATCGTCCCTCATGTTATTCATGAGAAACGGAAGGCAAACGAAACCTTTGCTTCCCAGCAGGGACAACTGAATGTCCCTACAGCTGTCTTCTTTTTACCTCTGCAATGAACGGTCTGGTTATCGTCTCATTCACACTGAAATGTGGGTTGATTTTTGGGACAAATTGACCGAGTAGCTCTGGTTCCGAGTATCTACTTCGTACCGCTGAGCATGTGCACTTGACGAATTTCAATGTTTGATAATAGTTGATAAGCTTCTTGGCATTATACTTGCAAATATAAAAACAACTTTTCGCAGTTGAAGTTAAGGTTCGTTAACTTCAGCATTGAATAGAACTGAAAAGCAATTTCAAACAAAGTTCGTTGTGGGAAATCAGTAACAATGGTCGGATTATCAATATCATTTTGTACTGTTGTTCGGCGAGTGATACTCTTAGAACAGTGCGTATCCTTTCTTTTCATGTCATATTCCAATTCATGCATGAATTGAAAACATTGGAGCATACAAAAAAAACAAGAATTCAAATTCGCTCAAGTTCAACTTCAATTTTTTCCTCGGAAATCATGGTATTACAAAATAATAGCATGGCTTCCTCGGGAGATTAGGGATTAAATGTCCCTCAGCCTCGGGTAGATAAGTAAAAGTCCCTCCGGCCTGCGGCCGTTGGAAACACATGAAAAACCTTCATTAAATATGCATAATTTCAGCAGATTGGGCCCCAATTTGAGAATGAATATCAACAAATCATTTATATTATGTACATATAAATCTAAAGAATATATATCATTTTTATTTTTTCAAATCTGTGTGTATATATATATATTATTTTATTATTTTATAAATACAAGATACGGAAATATTTAGCGACTTAAAGTTTCATGTTAAATACAATCTTCAGGCCAAGTAATGAACTGTTTACAAACTCCCGGTGAAAAACTATAATTTAACCTAGCACAATAGGAACTTGCTTTTGTGCCTACGCTTAGAAATCAATTCAGATCTTTTGTTTAGCAAGTGATTTTTGTACAATTTTATTATAAAAAGCTTCTTGGTCAGACACAAGGCATCATAAAAAAACAGAGACACAATGTGACGTGTGCAAGGCTATGCTCCACTTGATAGTGTAGTCTTTGTTGCTGTCCTTCACATTCCATACATGTTTAAAYGATTTGGTGTGGTTGTTGTACCTGGTTTTGAACTTGCCTTCATATGTGCCATGCTTGTCATTGTAACTGCAGCTTTGTAAATTATACATCTGTCTAAGCATCTCCCATCTAATGGACAGTTCCCTTTGTCTCTGCAATTACTGAGTCATTTAGGATCTTGGCCTTGTGCTGTTTGACAATTCTTGGCATGTTGGCAATACAAAAGTAGCTGAGTTTTTGTGTCTATGTGTTGAAGATCTTACTACATCTTACTACATGTAATAGTCTTGACCTCATAGCAGTATACAGCTATTTCAAAAAWCGTTGTCGGGGAGAACGGAGAACAGCGATTGTTGAAGGAAGATTGCACGACCGAAAGGGACTATGGTTACACTGTTTTGATAAACAAAAATTCACTTATTGGATTTACCTTACATAGAAATAAAGTCAAATGGAGCCACTGTTTACGACAGACCATCTTACAATACAAATCAGTTATTATTTTCTTTCAACTAGCAAAACCCATGGCTACTTTCGGTTGAGCAATCGCCGTTCGACCATTGACATTCGTGATTTTATCCGACAACCTTTTTTGAAATAGCTATATGGTGGATTGAACCATGTCATGTTTCATTTTCTGGCTTCCCTTCTTGGAAATATATTATAGGATATTGTGGATGTTGTAGCCATTATTCCTTAGGGTTGTTTCGTATACCAGAGGTTTTGCTTTGTTTAACTCATCCTGATTGCATGAGAGGTCTGCAATCCTCTTGTTTATCATTCTTGATACATGTAGTTCTTTTATGATGGTAGAATTTCTCGCATATTGTAGGTTAAGCGTTACATTGAGGACGTCCATTACAATGAGGTTGTTCAATGGTGATTGATAGGCCCGCCTTTGTTCTTGGTATATTTTTTCCTTTTCTTCGTAGAAGGGGGTGGAAAATTCCTCTGCTCGCAGGGTATTCTTGAATAGGACTATTATCTTCTTACAAAACTAATCTAACATGTGTCCGTTAACATTCTCAATTATTATATATTATTATTATATGCATTCTATATACATACTTGTAAGTAATTTCAAATTACATTCACAAAATCATATTATTTCTAGAACATTACCTTCCATCCAATCTCTTCGAAAAATGCTGCCATTCTTGTCTGTGTTGTTGTTTTACCTCCACATGGTCCTTTAAAAGAATAAATTATCAAAAGTATATATAATATAATATTTTTGGCCAGTCTATYTGTAAAATCAATTTCTTTCTTTGTAATAACAATTAGGATTTACTTTGAAAAACAACCGGAGAAGGTAGGGCATATGATTTGGGCTTCCTTTAGTTTCCTTTCTTAGAATGTGTAGTATCAGGAAGTGCTTTGCTTTGATTTTTTTCAGGGTGATGAAAAAAGATTAAAGATTAAAAAACAAATTAATTTCCGACCTCTCTGGAATTCGAACCCACGATCCTCGGATTTTTATTACCGATGCTCTACCAGCTGAGCTACAAGGTCAGACTGGGAGCAGGTCGGGGTAAAATAGATCTTAGCTTGCGGTAATTAGAATGTACACTTTCAAACTTCGACTATTTTTCATGATAATGTACATGAAATTGTCTGGCAGAAATGGCTTAGTACGTTTAAGCTTAACAACTTAAGCTTACTACATTGCACAAACCTCCGGTTAAAACGACCTTGTAGACTTTGTGTCCGTGACTCTGATTCGTACTTTGGAGATTGTCTGTCATGATTCTGTTAAAAAAAGTTAATATATTGATTGAAGCAGAACTTGTTATTCTGTTTAAACGCGCACAAACTTTATCTAGCATGAGAATAGCTCACCTCTACTAGCACCTCCTGGGACATATACAACAAAAAACGAGTGAAAACCGCAGCGATAGGATCGCGGGCGTCAACATGATGGCGGGAAATTTAACTGCAGCAGGCAGCCCAGCCGTTATTTTCGCTGTAATATTTACACAGGTAACCTAGGCTGTGTAACCAGTATTTGTATAAGAGAATGTATCATGTTGACTGAATGATGTTTTGAACTGCGGTATTGTTGTTGTTGCAKTAAAATCTATCACCCCCAAAAATTTGGTCTTCAATTGGAATCAAACCCATGATGCCAACTGATCTATTTAATCATCAGCATCATAATAGTAATTAAGTAATAATGTTTATTGAGGCCACTGGCAGTAATGATAATACTGAATTACAGGTTTGACATATAAACGGAAAAGGGCATTGTTTTTTACATTTGGAATTTGACAGTTACAAATTATTTTTGTATCTATTAGTTTGCACATGATTGGGGCATAGATTATTTCCAGGCCTTAGAGACATTCTGTGACTCGAGATTAYAGCTCGATCATTAATTAATGGACAAATTGGGTTGTCTGGTTTGACTCTGACATCCCTAACAAATTCCTTACATTTCTCTTGGAGCCTTTGCTCAAGTGTTTTCAGGATGGCTTTTAATAACTAACACATCCAAATAACTAAAATCTGGCCAAATTAATGCCAATGCTCTCCTTTGGATGTTTTCTAGAGTAGTTGAGAGATATTTTTGTAGACCAGCAAAAACAACAGAAGCATACTCTATGGGTAGATCTTATGAGCGAAGAAAGCCCATCAACATATTTATGGTTTCATCTCCAAAAGTTTGTAAAGTGTACTTATCATCTCTCCCCGATTATTGGAACCCTATATTTATCCAGGGAAGTACAGGTGTTCAAAAAATCACTCAGATATTATTATATTTCTATAGAAAAACATAGGCCGCCCAAGCATTGCTTGAGAAAAAAAAAGAAGGAATGTACACGCCTTTAGCGCATCGGTGTGCATGCTCTGTGGATTATCTGTGGTATTATGTCNATTATAATAAGCTAAATTGACTTTCAAATATGCTTGGAAAATAATGGAGATCTGCAAAGATCTGAGATTAGCTACAGTAACCTCAGAAAGTGTTAGAGCGGATTTCGTATGAGTGGGAAACGGACGGTACTGTACTGTGACCGTAATCGTACTGTAACCAAATTCTAGTGCCCCATCGTTTCACCAAAATTGTGCAGGCCAGGTGCGGTAACTGTGCGGTAACCGTGCGGTAACGGTGTCCCACTCGTACGAAATCTGCTTTAAGCCAACACCACATGTATTCACATCCACATCATACTTTTGGCACTTTAATATATATATTTAGTACATGTATGCTAAATACATATTCCTGCTGTATCTATAATGCTACAATAAATCATTTTTACCACACTCTTTTGCCTTGACCCATATAGATGCCCCATACATGTTGTGAAGATATTTAAATGTACTGACTTGCTGATCTGTGACATCATAAGTTTCATCAACAAATGACGTTGTATATGTTTGAAACTGACCAGTTTGAGGGGCTGTATGGGTTCCAATATAATTTCTTCGTCTCTCTGATTTAGATCTGGGCGATTTCCCAAGTCCTGAAGGTATCTTTTGAATCCCGGACTCATTCCCATAAACCAAACTCTTGCTTCTATAGTTAAGCTTATCAAACTCTTGTGCATGTAAAGCTTGCAAGTGTTGAAATTCATTGAAGTTCAAAGGTAAAAGATCATCAGGGCACTTCTGCACCGAAAAATAATCACTATCACACGATGCATCCAGTTCCATGAGTGTACCAACAGAAGTGGATGGTTCGAATTTCCCTAAATTGTCAGGAGATTTATTGGATGCAGTCGCACTTRCGAAAAGTAACTGTTGCTCAGTAAAATTTGAAATTCGTTCCGCGGTGCTGACAGCCAAATTGTACTTTTGTGTTGCTGTAAGGTCGCTTAATCTTCTTTCAAGATCTTCAACCATCATTTTCAAACAGGCATAGCTTGCATTCGTTAAAGCTTTCATCCACGATTCCATCTCTTTTGAGCTATTAGCTCCCAGAACGTACGTCCTTGCTCCCGCTCCTCCATACGATATTTGGAATGCATATGGTTGATCTTCGCTTTCAGCAAGTTCAACGTGGCAGTTCTCCAAAATTACGACTCCAATAGCTTCCTTGTCACCTTCGCGTTCAAAGTAATAAAACAAATTTCCTTTCAGCACAAACCAACGTCTTTGATATCCTCTATTTAACTCTCCTTTTTTGTTTAGATATCCTTCCTTATCCGACGGAGCGGAAGAAATTGCAAACTGAACAAGACTTCGCTCATTCAACTTCATAATCTTTCACGGAACAAGAACTGTAGCAGCTAAGATTAGTATAAGAATGCCCAAACTTTGGTCGGGCTAAGAAAAGTTGTCGTTGTAGACAGCGAAGTTCCTTTCAAATTCATTGCAATTTGCAACGGAAGTTTGAGCCACTTCGGACACCATTTTGCACAGTGCACAGTTCCCCGGTCGAGAAGAGCTGGGCTGAGCTGGAGAACTTATATTTTTAGCTGGGCTGCCTGTGCTGCCTATGCAGAGAGAGGAAGACCTCGGAGAGGAAGACAACATGGATGGAGAAGGTAAGATGAGACAAAAAATAGTAAATCTAACTTATTAGGCGGATTTCTGTCGAGACTTTAGTATGAAAGAGAGTAAGTACTTACTATTTTTTATGATAACTTTAAAAATTCCTAGACAACATAAGATTAACATAAACTAAGTCTCCTATATTTGCCAAACGTTCCCTATAGATCTCATGTTGTGTAGTGCAAGCACCCAAAGTTTATCCTTTGTTCCTCTGTCTTTCACAAGCCTAACCCAGGAATTTCACGGATACTAGTTTCGCTTTATTACGCCTTTTCAATCCGTATTTTGTTCCCTATAGAGTCATGCATTTTCTTCCRTCTGTGAAACAATTTAAGCTTTATACTACTAGTCAGTGTTTGATAGTGTCTAATGGTTGTATTCCAATATAAGAAAGCAATGGGTGTAGAGTCTACTAGCRTCTATTAGCGTAGGAACTATTTCACAGTCCGATGGAAATCACTCTAGTCCAACTACTTGACAGTGATGGTATTTTGAACTGATTATAATTAGTTAACTGGCTATTTCAAATTGAAATGTGAATGCTAGCCATTAAACGAGGGGGTGTAGGGGGATCCCTGAATACCATAATATCGTTTAAAAAAATAGGCAGTCGAGGACTCGGGTCATATAGCAGTTGAAAAATTGGTACTATTTTGTATATAATTAAAATAGTCAGTGCGTGACCACATGCTTTCATGGGTGAAAAAACAAATGACAAGTGCAGTAAGTGAAGGAAATTTCAGCTCCCTCTGACTTACAGAGAATCTGACAGAGTGTGAGGGTGCTATCCCACACTATTTGCTAGTAAACTCACATTAAATCACGCTATTTTCGGTATTCTACACTATTACAAATTTCAGCACTAATCAAATAATAATGTACCATATACAAAATAAAATCAGTTGAATTTGTCTTGTGGACTTGTAAAAATCATGAATAATTAATGAGGAAAACACAATAGAAATCACAATCGTGGGCTTTACAATCTCTCACCTTTGGCTCGAGATTGTAAAATCCCATACAATATGGCCGCTCATGTTGTAAATATTACTTACAAATTAATTTGCTATTTTTTGACAGAAGACAATGTTGCTTTTAAAAAACATCCACCCTACTACATAATGTACAACAACAATAACAGAAACAAGATAATAGTATTTCATATTAAAAAGAAAAGTTTCAATTTTTTACAAATAGCCGCATAATATGTTAATTAATGCATATTTATTCTCTGCACTTTTTTGCACTTTTTATTTTAGAAAAAAATCACTWTTCCCACTATTTTCAAGGTCTTTTAATAAACATAAACTGGAGTCAAATTATTTTAGTAGTAAGAGTAAATTATTCTTGAATTAACTTTAAGATTTATTTTTATTATTTCATTTTTCTATTTCTATTGAACGATTTCACATAACCGGATAAAAAATGCTAATGAAGATCAATTTATGCTATACACATTACACAATGAGAATACCCTGTATCAAGTTCCTATTCATGTTTGCAAAGTGTTACGAAGTGTTTTTCCTTAGTGTGCACGTTGGAATGTTTGTAAAAGAAAACAAAAGTTTTATTTGTGTAATTTTTGCTGCTTATGTTGTCATTTTGGACATGTTAAATTTAAAGAGAATTAACGTCAGCAAGCAGAAGCCCAAGTTTGTCTTAGAATGCTACCAAAGGAATAATCAAAACCATWAAACCATATCTGATCCAGTACATACCACAGCACAGTCCAAATCAATTGTGGCAGAACGACCAGAATAGAAGAAATTCAACACAAGAGTTAGAAATGAAATATGCAGGCAAGAAAACGCCAATAAAGAGGATGCTGTGAAGGAAAAGCTTGAGTGTGATTTTGTTATGTCCTTGTCCAATTCTGACGAATCTGTACAACAGGCAAACAAGAAAATGAATGCCTCAGACGTGCATGAAACACACAAAAGAATGTGCAAAAAARGCATGGATAGAACTTGAACGCTGTCACTGCAATGTTGGCTAAAACTGTGGAAGAAAAAAATAAATCAACAAATACGTGATAAAAGCTTGTATTTTTAAGAGCACAATTACTCCTTATTTGACTTTTGACCATTCGATCACGAATGTAATGTTAGTTATGATTTAATTGTTATTTAAAACATATCTGTACGTCAAACTAAGTAAAACGTTCATCAATTTCCTCGTTGTCCCGCGTGTGTAATATTGTGTAATGTGTATTAGCATAAATTGATCCTCATTAGCATTTTTTATCCGGTTATGTGAAATCATTCTTATATGTGATATTTACTCATGTATAAGCTGTCTTTTTCCAAAAAAAATCGCTCCCAAATTGGGGGTGTGGCTTATRTACGAGAAGACTTAGCATTCACTGTGCGATCGTTGCTAAGACTACCCACGAGTCACATACGACTACATACGAGTAACATACGACTACATACAACTACATATGACTACATACGGGTTACATACGAGTAATATACAACTACATACAGGTTACATACAAGTAACATACGACTACATAAGGTTACAAAAAATAAAAAAAACCTGTATTTATGTGTAGAATAGTCTTCCTTTTGACCAAATTCAGCTGACAATTCAAGCTTCTTCGTCGCTCGGCATAGCGTACAATCGATGTGATGTGATGTGATGTGGACGAACTCCTGGACAGAATACCACGAAAAACTATTTGTCCGGGAGTTAAAATGATTTCGGCGAAATCACGGGAGAATGTAAATCCAGTTGAAAAAAATCAGAAAATGTCATTATTGTCGAATTATAGATACTTTACTCTCTTTTTAGTTTAATCGTTTTCTGTTCAACGAACAAAGGAAGCTCAACTAAATTTGGTCAAAAGGAAGATTATCTGCACCTARATACTATACTACTTATTGAGCAAGTTGGCGGGCCGTACGGGAAAATATTTAGCTCGAGGCTATGCCGGTTTTGGTAAATTATTTTGACTCCCGTATAATATATAGTTTTTGCTCGTGACATTCTGTCCAGGAGTTCTTAAGTGTCATGTCGGTTGTATGCTATGCTGAGTGGCGAAAAAGCTTTGAATAGTCAACTGAATGTGCTCAAAAGGAAGACTATCTACATCTAAATACAGTAAAGTATCTTTGATTAGACTGGATTTACATTCTACCTGTGATTTTGGTGAATTATTTTGACTCTCGGCATATAGTTTTTCGTGATACTCTGTCAGGGTCCCGGACCGATATAGACGAATAATTTTCATGGTAGTTATTTTTGTATTAAGGTTTTTTTTTATTTTGTGTACTTGTATGTAGTCGTATGTTACTCATGTAACCTGTATGTAGTCGTATGTTACTCGTAATTACCCCGTATGTAGTCGTATGTAGTTGTATGTAGTTGTATGTAGTTGTATGTTACTCGTATGTAGTCGTATGTGACTTGTGGGTAGTTTTAGCAACGATCTTCACTGTGCTACTTACTACCTCAACATTCATTATTTTACTACACGACACTCCTCACAGCTAGTTTTTGACTGAGGGAGGAAAACCAGCGGACCTGGAGAAAAACCCTCGGAGCAAGGAAGAGAACCAGCATACAAACTCAAATCACATATTATGATAGACCAGCGTTTTAACCGGCCATCCTTGCTCCCCATTGTACAATCTTCTTTAATTTTTTTTTGAAATACGAAACAGTTTTGGCACGATCCTTTAGTTTRGAAGTTTAGCAGCACGATGACATTTATATCACTTAAAATTACTAGTTTGCTTACCTTTTGAATGAAAAACAACTCTTTAAATATAGTATCAATTATCAATATAAACAATTATGCCCACACTATAAACTCCAAGAGCATCATAGTACACCGCATTAAATTAATGCATGGATCACGGAAATCCAGCAGGCGTAAAACCTTTAAAATCAAAGATATCTTAGTTCGCAGGTTCACAATTTACATTTTGTAAATTGCTGTTGATGTTTTTTGAGTTATTAGAATTAAATATGTGATTCTGAATCTGCTTAAGTAGAAACATGCTAAGACTGGGTTGTGCACTGTAGCTCTAACTATGGCTATATTTAAGTCGTCTATCGGCCTCTACAGAGACGACGGACTGGGCGTAATTAAGAACTCTAACGGCCCGATGATCGACCGCCTAAGGAAAAAGATCACGAAAGTCTTCAAGGACGAAGGACTCTCCATCACCATCGAGACCAACCTATCAGTAACAGACTTCCTCGATGTAATGCTCGACCTTCCAAGAGCAAAGTACTACCCTTACAGAAAGCCTAACAATCCCTTATCTTACATCAACGCATCCTCAAACCATCCTCCAACTGTCATCAAACAACTTCCGGTCATGATAAACAGAAGGATTTCAGACGTTTCATGCGACCAGGATGAATTCGACCAAGCCAAAGCATGCTACGAATCTGTCCTGAGAAACAACGACTTCACCACAAATTTCTCCTACAGAAGCGAAAACCGTCCCATAAGAAATAAAAACAGAAAAAGAAACATCATCTGGTTTAACCCACCGTACAATCTACAAGTGAAATCTAATATCGGAAAGATTTTCTTGCGCCTAATAAAGAAGCATTTCCCAAAGGGACACAAGTACYACAAGATCTTCAATGTAAACACCATAAAGATCAGCTATTGCACAACCCCCAACATGAAAACCATCATAAAACAGCACAACAAAAAAATCCTCGACACCAATCAACCAAGTAGTCAACCTCAACGGCAATGTAATTGTAGGAACAAGGAGAACTGTCCTTTGGACGGAATGTGTGCATTGTATACAAAGCTGTAGTATTCACGGAACAAGTAACACAAGTTTATTTTGGCGCCTCTGAGGGTGAGTTCAAAACAAGATATAACAACCATACCAAATCCTTTCGTCATGAAAAGTACCGGCACGAAACTGAATTATCTAAAGTATATTTGGAGCCTCAAAGACAACAATCAAGATTACACATGTAAATGGAGTATTGAGTCGTGTGCGACACCTTACCGATGCGGCTCAAGAAAGTGTGACCTGTGCCTCACTGAAAAACTAACTATAATCAAGAACAACATTAACGCTATCCTAAACAAAAGAACTGAATTAATCTCGTTTTATAGTTCTTTTTTAAATTGCTATGCGTTTTTGAGCGGAAAACAAATTTTGCCAGTAAGCCGTGTCTCTAYCCTCTGATATAAACATTGTSGTCAGCCAATCAGAGCACGTGTTATATATCAAAAAGTTTTATAAATGATTTTATACTATGACTTCAAATTCCAGCATAAATACATGTACTTGCCAATGTAGACTAGTTTTTTCACCACTAGCTCTAATTTTCATAAAAGTACAATATTTTAGAGAAAATAGAATTATGTTTAGTGAAGATAAAGTGAAACTAATAGGGTGAAGTCATTAAAACCATGAAATTAAAGTATGAAATAAAGACAAAATAAGGCATACAAAGGTGTATTTAGACAAGTGTAATGCCTATTTGACAGGTTTTTTAACTTAAGGGAAGTTAGTGTTCCTCAGCAGGAACAGGGGTCAAGCCAGTTGGCTGTCATCAAAGATTATACAGACAACCAAAGAATAATCAATATTTATGAAATTAATAAAGTATATTTAATTGCAATTTGCAATAAATTTTTTATTATTTTAAATTATATATTTTATCTCTCTGACATTTTGGAGAAAGTTATGATATGAAATAGTCAAGAACAATTAGTGATGAATAGAGTATTTTATTAAATGGCAAATAGCTTTCGTACATTCTATCATTTCTCTATCCTTCATACTAGATACCTGGGTCACACATCTGTCCACGGCAAGTAAAATGGTTAATGTTCATTTTCTTGTCATGTAAAGTACATTTCACACTGAAAATTATGAGTTAGTTAGGAAATCTGGTGATATGTTGTAATATGAAAGAAAATCGTCATTTACTGCTGGTTTTCCATGACAATAACATCTAGGAGCAAAATTTTATTTTCACGTGACCAGTGTTTCATACCTTGTCAGATCAACTGATAAACTCCTGATACACATTTTTCCAATGAATTATCACATAATTTCTACATTTTTAATTTGCAGTCCACAATTAGCCTTCACATTCTTGGTTTTAATGATCTTAGGCCAGATATTTTTTGAGCTATAATTGGCCAGCCTGTGGTCGAACATCAAATAACTGATTTGGCCTTTTACAGATGATGATCCACCTTTATGGATAACCATTCATAATTAGTGCCAGTATAGATGAAATATTTTGTTTGTTTTGATTTTTAGATCAAGTTTCCAAACTTGAGAGACATCTTACTCTCTTGAAAGAGGAATATGTTAAATTACAAAACAAGATGGTTGAACTAGAGAAAAAATATGATATTGCTGTTGCTTCATTGGGGCAATCAGATGAAAATGCGTTTGTCACTAAGCTGCTTAAAACAGTTGCAGATTTGTTTGATAAAGATTTATACAGGTAACTGTCCAAAAAGGTCTTAAATGTTAGTGCTCAAAAAGAGAGAACCATAAAGGAATACCAAAACACCCAAGCACTATTAATCATAGTAGACACTGACAAAACACATACCAGTAGCTAGAACAAGTTCAAAAAAATAATAGACAGGTACAATCTCTAAAACTCAAGAGCGCATACACAAAACCAGCTGAAAGCGGTGTCTCCATGGCTATACACACAACATCCTCAACAATGTCTATGATATGAATGTAAACTTAAAAATATAGTCCCTGTGTCACTGGAAATTCTGGCAATAATCCTTGATGACTAGTAGCAGAAAATCAGGTAGTGCCAGTTATTGTAAATACTTGCGGTTTTGACCTGACACATACACAGACAAGCCACACTTGCTCATCGTGTTTGCAAACGTTTTTCTGTTGCAAACTTAAATATAGGCCTCCTAAGTGATAGGAAGAGCAAGTGTTGTTTGTAGGTGTGTGTGACAGTCAAAACCGCAAGTATTTATTGTTTACCTAGTAATTTTCTGCTACTAGCCACCAAGGATTGTTGCCAGAATTTTCTAGAGTTTTGTACTATTCCCAACACCATGGGAACTATATAATGAATCTGAATCTAAACTAATCCATTTTAAACATACTAGTGACATCATAGTTTCATTTGGAGGTCAAACAATCAAAGCTCATAAGTTCGTTCTTGCTGCAAGAAGTGACAACTGGTGTAACAGAGACTTGAATGAAATTGATGAACTGCAATTAAATGGTGAGTGTGAAATAAGAGTAAGTTATGGATTTGTAATTTGACAATGGGTATTGTCAGGTCAAGGGTTATTAAGGCCAGTCATTATGAAGAGTCAAATCTATTAGAATGATGCTTTTTTAAAAAATGGAATTTATTGCCAATACAACTTAATAATAACTTTATTAAAAAGAGAATGGTAGCCATTGGAGGCTAAATTGTACGTATAGTTGAAAACACGAGAGAGTTTTTTATCAGGTATAAAGATTTGAGCCGAAGACGAGAATCTTTATACCAAAYAAGACATGAACTCGAGTGTTTTAAATGGCTCCAAAAACTCCAACACTAATTTGAAACTCCATTTAAAATCTTGGAGAAATTGCCGAAAAAATAAGTTTTGAGATAAATGGGGCAAACTGATCATGTGCGAATTACTTTACAAAGCACTCTTGTCATCCCACATTGAATACGCATAAAGTAAAGTAGAAGCGCTGTTGGCTGTTTACTGCAATCAGTTGACATCCTGCATTGGTCAATGATCAGGTATCAAACCTGAGACCTTTGCTAGGGTCATGGACCTTTATATCTGATAAAGGTCACCTTTATTAGTATTCTTTATATAAAGAATACTAATTAGGAGTGTTTTATCAGATATAAAGGTCCTTGCATGCGACCAAATAGGCTCATTCTATCACAGGGGGCCCAGGCTCAACAGTTGTGTTGCTTTCACGGCGGTGTCAAAGTATTAATTGCGGGGTTCGAGGTTCGAGCCCTCATGAAGCCGTAAATTTTTTCTACTTCATTTCTTGAGACTTTTCAAGACTTTCTTTTTCTTTTCTTTTTTCTTTAATTAGTATAAACAGTTTTATCAATAAAGATTGATTTTTAAAGCCATTTTAATATTTTCCCCCCCTCGTAAATAAAAATAGACAAGGGAGGTAAGTCAGCGATCGAAATTTGCCAACCGGCTCTAAACTACGGCCTCTAAGACACCTAAACTTCATCCAATGGACATCAAACTCCGTACAGATTTCGATCAATACCTATTCTCACTTGCCACCAATGTTCAGCCTCCTTTGAAAAATATTTTCCGAGATATTTTAGTCAGAAGATCAAAATACTCCAGCCTACCGATGCACGGTACTTTCAACTCGTGCAACCAATTTTGTACCAATCGGTATAGTCAAATTTTCAACCCCATTTTCTCTTGAAGTTTGGAGTTTTTCCAAACTACGTAGCTGATCAHGTGACCAATGGAATGCCCTTCTGGTAACAAAAAATTTGCACCTTCGCTGAAAACTAACTTGTGTCAAAGTTACATGGTTACACTTTTAAAACAAAGAAAGAAATCCAATTACTATAAAATTTTGAAAATGGCGGCCTGACCCAGGCCTTAAAACACCCTTGAGTACACCCATGTCTCATGTTGTATGCTCTGGTAGTAAACTCTCTTGATTTTTGTTGCATGTTTTATGATTATCAGTATACACTTATTTCAAAAAACGTTGTCGGGGAGAACAGCGAGCGGCGATTGTCKAAGGGAGAATGCACGACCGAAAGTGTCTATGGTTACGCTGTTTGACATACAAAAAATCAATTGTTTGGTTTACTTGCATGAAAATGAAGTCTAAGATGGAGCCAATGATGACCATAGAATATAAGGTAAAAATCAGGTATTATTTCCCATCGATTAGCAAAACCCATGGCTCCTTTCGATCGTGCAATCGCCGTTTGGCAATTGCCATTCGCCATTTTATCCAACAACCTTTTTTGAAATAGGTATATGTTCTTAGCTTAAGTTTTACTGCAATTCACAATGAAMATCATGTCTAATGTTTATCACTCTAAACAGTTGTATTCAAGGATGTAAACTTTTATAGGGAAGGCATTAAAATGCTCTTGATTATCACACAAATTGTATTAAGTTTATGTAGACAAGTGTATTTCTCTTTAGGTGTTAGTGTAAATGTTGGCTTAGCTCTTATGAAATGGGTCTATACTGACAAAGCAACAATACCCAAAGATGAATCGTTTCTGATTGAATTGGTAAAAGCTGCTAACACATATAATTTAAAAGACTTAAAAGTCAGGTACGTGAATTTCATTTATCATATTTTGGATTAACCAAAGTGTTTTAACTACTAGAACAAAGCATATACAGTCATATACCTTCTCTCTTAATATTAAACTTATTCAAGGCCATGGCTTATGCATGGCAGTGTGAGCAAATGTTACAAAAATTACCAAACTGTGAAATGAAGGTACATGTTAATATGTTTATCATCTCATCACAACATTGCATATGTGTCAACTTGCTAATTGTGTAATACCCCCCCAGGGTCAGTAGATTGCCCAGACATGCGTACATGTAATACCTCTTTGTAGCCTCATGCGTACATGTAATACCTCTTTGTAGCCTCATGCGTTTGTTTGGTTAATACATTTTGTTTACAAAACGTATGTGGTGAATTAGTTCTTTTCTTCTAATTTCAATCGTTGAACTGGTCCTTACATGAGGAACGGGTTCAAGATGTAACAATCGCACGTAATAACAAATATAAAGTTAACCGCATTAACATTCACAAGGCAAAACACAATAGAAATCATAGCCCATGAAGAGAGTTGTATTTTACATACAGATTTCTTGTTCATTTGCATAAACCTTAAACTTGCTTTTCTCGATTGAATTTTTTTTCAAAAGTTTCTTTAAAACATGAGCTAATGACTGCATGTTTACCTCAACGTTTCATAAGTAATATACAATATTYRCGKGCKATMTGTATGTAATATATACAATATGAGCGGGCGATCTGTATGAGGATTTAAAACAGCRAGCTGAAAGCTCTTAAAGGATGATCACTATTTTGCTTTGCTACTTTCTTTATTTTCTCTTAGCATTTGCAAGTCAATGCTGTTCAAACATGTCCATGCCAGCTCAAGATTGTAATTCTACTGGGCAAATCTTTGCTGACATCAATGTTTACTTATTAGCAAAAACATTCCACTCCTTATCAAAATTCTTCTAATCTTCCCTTTGTGACTATGACTTATCATTTTAAAAAAATAATATATTATTCAATATGAATATTATTTTGTCTTAGGTGTGAAAGAATATTGATGTCATCAGTAACTGTGTCTAACTGCATCAAATTTTACCAAACTGCTGAGGATATTGGCGCCAAAGAATTGCAACTTTATTGCAGTGAAATAATATCTTGTCATTGGGTATGTTCTGGGTATTGTATTCAATGATGTACTTATCTTCATGTTATATTTCCTCAAAAAACATAATTATTAAAACATTTTATTTTATTGTCACAGTGATGTTGTTGATCATGAAATAGATTATGCCAATATTATCAATGCCAAAACAAATTTCCATGTGATATCAAAGCAGCTTCTTAATAAGGAGGGTGAAACAAAATGTTTTYGCCCTTTTGTTTGATGGTCTGATTGATTGATTTATTGTATGTTTAAAAAAAAATCCTTATGTCAATGTTTTTGCCATTTATTAAAGAAACCCATCTACTAAATATGTATCATCTGAATTCTTAGTAGCATGATGAGCCATTGGCTATTTAATTACCAATTTCCAGGAGCTACTTGTAATACAATTCGGTTGCCACAATCCAGTTGTGTGCATCTACTGTGTGCATTTTCACATGACAAATGACTTGTTATAATTATTTTTTTCTTATTTTAGCATGACTTGAAAACGGAAGACTTTATAAACATCAGTGCACCACTTTTGTATGAAATGTTCAAGTCCAAATCAACTCATCCTCTTCATCTAGCCATAACACATCATAGAGAGGATATTTTGTTTTTGTTTCTTATTGAATTCCATTCACAGGTAAGCTAATTTACAGTATTATGATTGGATGATGAGGGAATTCTGTGATAAATTTTATGAAATTAAAAATACACCAAGTGAAATTCATTGCAAAATTCCTGAGACATCCAAAATTAATTTTTATTGAATCACATATCTAGGCAAATTGTGATGGAAATTCTARCAAAAAAACCCCAGTTATTTTCACATTAAGCCAACAAGAACATCCATCTTTACCATGTCACACACAAACGTACTTGTCAAGAACTGGAAGAGCTTTGTATTGTATCTTATAATCAATTTTCAGAGGCATTTTGATGACAGAAACTGAACATTTTWACTCATTTGGATTTTTAGAGCAAGTATTAAACTTTTCTGTCTTTTCTGTTTCTGTCTGTCTATTAAACTCTTCTGAGTTTCTAGAAATTTTTGACGAGCATCCCTGGTACTTTTACCCTGGAGTCCCCCCCTGTCCTGGGCAGAATATATATGGTAACTTGTTTTTACAGTTTTCGGTATAATTCTTACTTAAGTTCACTTTAATATGATGAATCAASTGAATATCAAGTAGTTTTCCTCGAGCTATTGTTCAGTGGGAAAAATAGTTGTAAAAGCGTTTTCCTGTATTTCCCCATAAAATTCATARATTAAATCCGTTTTTCCAAAACGTTACTCAATATGAATTTGAATCCCTTGTTAATCATGTAGTAAAATATTATTATGATCTGACCAACTTGAATTAGTTTTTGACCCGTAATTTTTGGATGTTTTGGCTATTGAGGAATACAAGCAACTTGAAAGTTTGGTAGAATTCCGAGAAGGCTGTTTTTGTTATATAAATATCTATAATTTCAGAAGGGATGGGAAGATTTCTGTCGCTGCGTGTAGCCTTTTCCCAGAATTCATTGTGCTCAAAATTAAGGTTAAAACACAAGTTCTGAATCAGTGGCCAAAGGGAAAGTTGTAGCATGAGTTGTTTATGGAAATTTTGAAAAATAAATTGCTGAAATGACAGAACTAGGACTGAATTTTGGTACAAACAGTAATTCGCTTGTTCAAATCAAGAATTTTGTAGAAAGAAAAAGACAAGGAAATAGTGCTTTAATTTTAACTGTAGGCAGGGATTTGCATCAAAACTGCCCTTTTTCACTTTAATTTTTGTGAGTTCAACTGTCGCTTAAATGGCTTTTCAATGTCAAAATGAGTAGCTCAGTCATCCATGCTAATCCATTTGATTTTATACAAACTTAGAAGTTTGGACACAGGGGGAGGGGGGAATTGTTTGCTTTGAAACCAGGATTTTAGAGCGTAACCCTTAGCTAAACTTAACCCTACTCTATCCCTAACACCTAACCCTTCTGAAATGGAAATGGTGATATTTTGACGTATTATCGTGGCACAACAAAGCCACAGGTAGCCCAAACACTACACTAGGCTTTTCTCTGAAGGTCTTGTGGGGAAAAACGAAAAATTCAATAAAAGTAGGAAATCTTCATAAAATGAATTCAAACTCACACAATATATTGTTCTTAATTTATTACACATCTATGCGAAGTTTCAGCTCTCTGCAGTTAAAAAAACTGCTTTTATTCTTAATTTTGGTCCCCTAGATAATAAATACTAGTATCTATTATCTAGGGGACCAACACCAAGAAAATCATAAAAAACTTTTCAAGGTATATAAAATGTATTTAATAAGTATTTGTTCGCATGTTAATAAAAGATGTGTTTACATTCCTTGAAACAGGGTACATCTACTAAAGGCTATCCTTGAATTGAAATAGTAGTACTAGATAATAATTCTCTTCTATTTTGCTGTTGGAGCTAATTAAAAATGTCTTTTCACTTTGGCATTTCGACAACAAGAAAAGATAAATAATGCTATATTGAAAATACTGCAAAAAATATGGGGAAAAGCAAGGACTGTCTGTGTGAATTTTTTTCCAAGAAGTGTGGACATTTTGAAACAAGGTCAATATCAGCAGAACTCGAGAGAGAATAAAACCAATAAAGGATAACTCGACGCCTTTTTCCTTTTCTCTGAAATCATGAGAAACAAGTAGCAAACATGACTATTTAGACTGAAAATAAGTGATTGATAAGTGATTTTTTTAATTCAAAAATACTCTTAAGAAGTCATAACAATTAAGTCATGCATGTACAGTACTAATTGCACGTATGCTAATTACACACTGAATCCTTCACTATATAAGTCATATATCATGCTAAATTGGGAAATTATTATTCATTTATAGGCAGTCACAACTTTGTGATCTGTAAATGTATGATGTAAAGTCATTGTGCTGTCTTTTAGCTTCCGCAGAAACTGGATGAATTTGATCCTACAACTGGGCAACTTCCACTGGAAATTGCTTTGACTCAACATCAAGAGAGTATAGCTAAAACCTTAGTTAGCCATGGCTGTGACATTAACAAGGTGGATGAACATGGAAATTACCTTCTACATAAAGCTATCAAAAATGGAGATGAGTTTGCTGCTAAATTTTTGATCAAAAATGGAGCCTCTACAAATCTCCCAAATCAAAATGAATATGCAACTGCACTTCACTTTGCTGCATCATATACGTATGTAAAAAGTAATGATACACTCATTTAGGGGAAGATAATCATAGGACAGTTTGATTTCAAAAACAATGATATTTAGCATCAAACCATTGTCAATTATTGAAAAGTGATTTCTTGCTATCAAGTGAGCATATCTCAGCGCCCATGTAAAACTGAATCTCTATTGATCACTAAGCAAAATAACTTGTAAAAAGCAAAATAATTTATGTAAAAATCCCAAAATTTGTACAAAATACAATTATTGGTATTAAACGTTCAATAATAATTACAATTTCTATTGTTTATCACAGAGAAGTATATTTTGTCGTTTGGGTAAGAGAAATTTGCGCTCAATGATTGAAATTCACAAAATATTTTTGTTTCAAGATTGATACCACTGATGGGTAACATGAACAAGAGAACATCCATTGAAGGGATGACAAGGATATTGGAACTTCTTCTTGATAATGGAGCTGATCCAAATGCTCAGGACAGCCAAGGAAGGTAACAATCACTAAAATTGTAGAGGCTCAAGGCATTGTATGCTATCCCCTTGAAAGTGTATTGGTGTGTGTTTAAATGTGGTTAAATGCAATTTATAAGCAAAGTTAGACTCAAGCTAAGGTCTATGCAACAGTCTCATATAACACTAACATTACACCGACCTATAACGAAGTAACACAATTCAAGATTATAAATTATGATCAATCCTCTAGAGCTTATTAGATGTCCACAAGTTGAGAATCTGGTAAAAATCGGCATAAAAGCTGAGACTTTTGGAATCATGTAATTATATAAATTTTGATATATAACCGCCACATCAAAAATCCAGCAAACCGAACAGCTTTTAATCGGCTTGAATTTATTGTCACGTGTCACGCATTGGAAGGGGCGGAACGGCTCTCAATAAAAGATTGTGTCAGGCTCTCTCTCCCTTGTCACTCCACCCCCATCCTCTTCGAGAGAGCCTGATACTCAGGCTATTATGTTTTAGTATAAACATATCAATAGTCTATCACTCATACTGCGCTGTGATTGGCTACTCTACTAATGGTCTAATTTGTGATAGACCAAAGGCGGGAAAATCAATCTCATTAATAAATTATTTTAAGGATATTTCAATTTGTTTTCATTATTTGACCGATTAGTATGTTTATACTAAAACAATTAGAACTCTCGGCCTCGTGGACTACGAGCTAATAGCCCATTCAGCCTCGCGGACTTGGCCTCATGGGCTATTAGCTCATAGTCCACTCGACCTCGAGTTTCATCTTTACATAGTATAGATGCAAAATTGGCAGAATCGACCTTGCTTTTCATTGCAGAAATTAATTTATATATAAAGTAATGTTGATTACTTTCATGATTATCATGATTCAGCTCACTTGCACCGTGAAACATAATCAAAGAAGTAGTAACTATCAGTTTTTATTTACTGACTAATTGTTATTAGTATAAACAYGCTAATGGTCTATCACTCATACTGCGCTGTGATTGGCTACTCTACTAATGGTTAATAAATTATTTTAAGGATATTTCAATTTTTTTTCGTTATTTGACCGATTAGTATGTTTATACTAAAACAATTAGACCTCGAGGTCGAGTGGACTACGAGCTAATAGCCCATTCAGCCTCGCGGACTCGGCCTCATGGTCTATTCGCTCATAGTCCACTCGACCTCGAGGTCTAATTGTTAAATAGTTTCACTGCAATAGAATAAACATTAAATGACAACAGCACATCTACATTGTGAAATTGTTGCCTGTCCAGACTCGAACGAAGCCTCCAGAACCAAAAGTACAAGAAGAAGAACATGTGGAGTTCTTACCAGAACGAGACATGAATTTGTCTTGCATTTCATCTAACTTCAGTCTGACAAAGCTGAAAGCGGACATCGCAGTGTTACTAGTGGAGAGCAGAACGTCTCACTTTGCAAATGGAAATTGAGAAGGCAAGAGCAAGGGAAGCCATTTTTCAAGGAAGCCATTTTTCAACATCCCCGAGTTCCTCTACTCACTCCAGATTCTTTCATGCGAAAGGGAACCAGTTTGAACCCAGCAGCTACGGAATTTACCCCAACACAATCTAGCTCTAGCCAATGCAGGTTTTTTGAAGACAAAGGAGATGTGACAGAAGACCAATTAATCAGAGGAGACCAGCAACTGGTGAAGAGACAATCAACCCATACCAACAGCTCACAGTAGCAATGACCCTGCTGCAACCAGCAGTTCCTATATTTCATGGCAATCCAGGAGAGTACGCTCCATTCGTTATGGCATTCAAATCTCACATAGAGTCAAGAGTAGCAAACATTTCGGACTGCCTGTACTTTCTGAGCCAACATCTCAAAGGCAAGCCCAGTGACCTCTTCGAGAGCTGCTTGTACTTGGAGCCATCTGAAGGTTATTCTCAAGCACGGAATAACTTCAAGACGAGTACAGAGATCCACACAAGATAGCCATATCATATGTCAACCAAATACTTAAATGGCAAGCACTCAGGAAGAACAACAGCGTTGCATTAAGAAAACTTGCTGTTCCTCTTAAAGTGCAAGAATGAGAAATATAGAACACCTCAAGATCCTGAAATCATTATCCAAACATGCAAGTCATAGTTCAAAAGCTTCCTTTTTTTCTTGTAAAGCAAAATGGAGAGACCACAAACCAACAACCGTAAAGAAGCGCTACAGAAAAATAACATTGTATGAAGACTTTGTAGACTTCATGGCTACCCTATTTATGGAAAGGAAGCAATGAAGTCCCAAGTAAAGGCAATGAGGACCAAAGAACATGGAAATGAGAGGAAATCCCTAAACTTCACAAGAAGTAGCACGTCCTTTGCTACAGACGTTGGACAGACTGGTAGTGCTGTAAATGCAGATAATAAAATGCCATGCAAGGTCCCTCATAATATAGACGAATGCAATAGCTTTGAAGAAATATCTGTCGATCAATCGTAATATTCATGAAGACAAAGGAGAAACGTCGACTGATATTTTTTCCCAGGAAGCCCACGTAATAATTTCTATGTTGATGATTGTTTAAAGTCTGTTCCAGATGAAGACATTGCAATCCAACTGATCAAAGGTATCCTTTACACCGTATCATCAATCTACGACCCACTCAGATTCATCACTCCATCTACCTGCTGAGAAAGTGTTACAGGAACTTTGTAGAAATCTGAAACTTGGATAAGATGATGAAATACATATAGGTGAAGAGTTATGGGACCAGTGGGAGAAGTGGCTTGTACAGGTGCTGCATATCAGACATATAACAGTAAATTGCTGCTACAAGCCACCAAACTTTGGCGAAACGAAATCTGAAGAGGTCCATGTCTTCCTGGATGCTAGGTCCATAGGATAGGGGGCATATCAGACAGTTGGATGCATACCTAGACAGTTATGGTCTATTGGGAGTTGGTTGACGCCTATGACGGGCACACTTGTCAGAAGAGACTAAACACCCTATCATCCTTCCAAGAAAGTGCAACATGACAGAAACCATGACAAGATGAGCTCACAAGTATCTTGAATATACATGAAGAGTGCACATGATGTCTAAGCTAAGAGAATGATACTGGATTATAAGTGTCAACGTCACCTACAAATGCTTAACCTGTTGAGGGGTCCTGTAAATGAACAAAAGAGGAGTGACTTACCAAAGGCACGTACGAAGGCAGCTCCACCTTTCACTTTCGTCTTTCTAGACATCTTTGGTCCGTATCCAATCAATGAAAGAAGGAAAACCCAGAAGTTGTGCGGAGCATTGTTTTCTTGCCTCACTAGCAGAACCATGATATATTGAGTTAGTCGCCACCATGGATACCTATTTGTGCATACAAGCAATCCAAAAATTTACTGCTTCCAACCCATATTTGTTGCTATACTGCACCCCCCTGAGGTCGGATCTCTTGGCACCTCTTCTGAAATCATTAGATACACTAACACCAACATMTGTGCCAAATTTTGGGAATTYATTCTACTCTGTAATTATCGAGCCATCATTTGGGGTTAACAGACCGCCTTTCCCATGAGCCCCCCATATGACTGTTGGTGGGTTGAACTTCCAGCTAATTTCAGTTTTCAGCAACCTTTCTTGTATTGCCTTGCTGTCGATTGCTTGACGTGCTTCAGTGTCTACCAGGTTCGTCCCGTTATCACATAAGATCTCTTTGAAATTATACAAAAATATGTATCCCAGTAAAATGAATAATATATTGTCTGGTTTTCTTTTATATGACCATTTTTATGTTAAACGTAAAAGGTGAAGACAATGTAATCCAGGGTGTGCATTTTTCTTGTATGGGGGTGTCAATAAAGAACTATATGGGGCAGATGCCACTTCTAATTTTTAATATTTTCTATATTTTAATCATGATAATGTACCTAATATATATTTTAATGCTTTTTTAACATTGGTTTATCATAATTCAGTGATTGGGTGTTGTATTTATTGTTTATTTGAAATTTTATTGTGAATTTAACACATTACACAAGAAGCCCAAGGCTATTAAAGGTGTATTAATATTTTGGGCTCCCTGTTCTGTAAGTCTGTAAGTTCAAGGGAAAAATAATGATATTCTATAGTCTGCAGAGTGACTTTTACAGCCTAAAAAGGAGCTCATCTTATGCACATCATTACTTAATTATAGCCGCAACAATAGGTGGTGGAATTCCATATATAGACGAAGGATGTTGAACATGACTTCACGGTTGATGGAGTCAAATGCTTTTCTAAAGTCGACAAAACAGAAGATGAAATCTTTGTCGAACCTTCTCATTTTTTTCTATTATGCGGCATAAGGCCAGTATCTGTGAGATGGTGGATCGTCCCTTTCTGAAACCATTCTGGTTGTTGCGAAGCAGCGGGTCTACTGCAGGTACAATACGATTCAGTAAGAGCTTATTGTAGATCTTAGCTGTGATCAGTATCAGGCAAATTCCTCGGTAGTTGCGAGGCTATGTCGGGTCACCTTTTTTCRGGATAGGCACAATACCAGATTTCAACCAGGCAGATATATGGCGGTCGCAGGGCAGTAAAGGTGTAATTATAGAACTTGAGTAGCAGGTCGTGGAAGAGAGGGTCTTTCCAGATGAGACTTGGGATGTTGTCAATCATCATCATCATCGTATTTTCACACATGTTCTCAAGAAATCTCAAGAAATTGCCTCTGCCCATCATTTGCCATCTAATTTGCCAATTTAGCAAAGATCACTTGATTGTCAGCATATACAAGCTCAGTGATTTGTTGATAGCAAGATGTTGGAGCCTTTTTACAGTATTCCCTTGGTGAGACTTCATTAGGGATGATGAGGTAGCAGTACAAACTGAAACCTGCATTTGGGATATGCTTCAATATCTCCTCATGACTAGGTGTAGATTCGTATATTGGAGGAAGGTCATCTGTTGGTWATAAGTGTGGGAAGTCCTTGGGATGTTCTAGCTCAAGCTGTGGGATGTACAGGCAGTCAGCAAAATTACTTGAGAAGTTTGCCTGGAGTTTCTCCTGACTGGTAAGCGGTCTAGTCTGAAATCTTTTGAAAGCGATTTGAAATTCTTCATCAGGAGGAACTCTTCTTCAGTTTCACGTTGTTCATGCATGGTGGCATGGGTGGCCTAGCGGTTAAGCTACTGGCCTCTCACCGCTGTGGTTCGGGTTTGATTCCCGGGCACGGACCATATGTGAGTTTGAGTTTGTTTGATGTGTTGTTCTCTCCCTTGCCACGAGGGTTTTTCTCCGGTCCTCCGGTTTTCCTTCCTCAGCAAAAATCAACATGTGAGGAGTGTTGTGTGCTAAAATACTTAATGTAGAGGTAGTGAGTGTGAGAGGAGGGCCACAAGTTTATCAGTCTTTGACTGTAATGTGCTACCCTCGTAAAATAAAGTTATTTTTTTATTTATTCACTAGCAAGATTTATCTGGTCTGCCTCAACTTTAAAGAATTCATTCTTGAGTCTGTTACGAAGCTTTCTGATCTCTTTGACAGTGTATTTCTTCTTGACCTTATCTTCTTGATAATTAATTCCAGACCCCTGAAAGTGATATCAAACGAAGTGGATGACTACGAACCACTATCACCACAGCAAATCCACTGAAACCTATTGTCATAGCAGGACATTCACCTGAGTTTCAGCATCATGATTTGTATTTGCGATGACACTAGTGCCAAATCCAATACCTGGCAAATCTCTTCTGGTCAAGCTGGAAGAAAGAATATCGTGTAGCACTATGGCAAAGTCAAAAATGGCAGACGAAGATCACAACATTACAAATTGGAGACATTGTAATTCTCAAGGATGACAGTCGTTGGCCACTGGTAGAATGCGAGAAGGAAGACACAGATGTCAACCCTGAGACGACCAGTTGCCAAAGTATTAATGATACTKCCTCAAGAAGAAAGAAAAGACAAATAAACCCCACRACAAGGTTTATTGGGGCAGGAATATAATGGCATAATAAGAATACTCTGGAGAAAACAGTTCATATTAATATTCTGTTCCTTTGTAATTTTTGCTATATTTTGTTAATTTCGTATATATTATTCAGTCAGACTTACAGTCTTCAGTCGACAACAGGGTGTCTACATATATCCTCTTAAGCTAACCTATTATAATGTATAAAAATCCTGAACTCATTGAACTCTGTCACTTTGTTCAAGTCAATTTGCTACCAGTCAATACATTCCACAAAAAGTCAATTTGTTACAAAAATTGAGTCAATTTGCTTCATGTTCATATTACATTAAATAATCATATTACATGTAAGTCATAAATCCAATATTAGATGTTAAATGAACTGAATTTGGTCAAGCTTAATTTTACCTTACATGTCGAACACCATATTTGTCGATAGCTAAGTGATCGCAATCCTTTCACTGTACTATGTGAATAMACAAATGCTGGAACTTGAAAACTGTGAAATCAGTCAATCAAAAGACTTTTACAAAGAAATAGTTCAGCTGTATCAACAACGTTATGAAAGGTTAACGATACGATTGATCAATCACACTTTGGTTCATGTTGACATGCACTAACACAGGTAACCTGATCATGAGGAAGTGGTTTTGGATATATTTGTTGTTTTTATTTCAAATCATTATTCCATGTGTCATTCAAACTGTAGGTATAGTTTTATAGGTTTCTTGATAGTTTTGACCCAGAGCGAATTCATT